TGTGTGTGTGTGTGTGTGTGTGTGTGTGTGTATGTGTGTGTGTGTTTATAGCTGATTATAGCATGTAGCATGTAAAATTATAAGTAGAATACAATTCTGAATTTTGATATGAATTGAAAATTGTTTAAAATGGGCTTTAATTTGAAATTTAAATTTGAAAGTCAAAATACAGAAGAGTACAATTGTGGAAAAATTACAATATTTTGAGTGTTAAAAATGGAAATAAATTACAATATAACACATTACTTTTAAATAAAACTGAAGTGTAACTGAAAGTTTGATGGCATAATATATTATTATATACTTTACTCTTTTACTCTACATTTTATATGAAATTGTTTGAAAAAATTAAAAAAAGATATATATATATATATCATTTTCGATGTTATTAATTATAAGCAAAAGGTTGGATAAAATATATGAAAATAAGATTACCTTGTAAATATGTAAAAGTGTTATGTATATATGAAATACTTGAAATATTTTTCAATGAAATTCAAAGATCAAGGTACTGAAAATGTATAGTATACGTGATGTAAACTGTAAATTTTCAGTGCTGGCAGTAAATTTTGGAACACAGCCCAAGTAAAATTCTGGACATTTTGGACTTGATGTTGACAGGTGTATTTCCTCGCGCGCGCGTATTAGACCGAATATGGCAGAACTAACTGCTAAGTTTTAAGTTAGAAAATGAATTTGTAAACTAAATGACAAAAACTTATAGATTTAATAATGCACAAAGTATTATTATGTATTAATACTACTTTACGAAGGTTACGTAACAAAATCTGGATAGTTTTAATGCAATGTTAAATTTAATAATTTATTATTATCTAGATGTGTTTCGCGTATTACAATATATTCAAAAATAAAAATGCTATTTGATTTAAATGTAATAAATTAAACTTTACGACATATGTACTTTGCTATTTGTAATTAAATTTTTTTAATCTTCCTTTTTCATTCCTCAGTGTATAATTTTATATCCATTATTTTAAGTATAAACAATGCAATATTCGGCAATTATGATAAACAGATTTAAAAATCATATATGGTTATGTTTAGATTTAAGATGTTTAGATTTAGGTGTCTATTCTCTAATTTTTAATGACTATAACGATATCATTACATTGTTTACGTTTACGCCGAAATTATATGATTGATGAGTTATATGTTTAACATATATTTAATATTAAACAAGGACAAATGATGAATTCGAGACATCGGAAGCATCCGAGCGACGTTTCCGAACGCAGCTTTTAAACACAATGCGAAAGAATAGCGATAGCAATAGGAATAATATGATTTCAATCTATTATAAATCAGATACACTGGAATATATCCTTTCTGATAGGTTAAAATCGTGTTATTCCTATCGCTATCGCTATTCCTTCGCATTGTGTTTAAGGCTTTAATATTAAACATAGAACTTGTAGTAAGTGGAAGGGGAATAGCCTATCCAACCAATGAGTGGAAAATGTGAGCAAGATTGAGAGACAGAAGATGTATATTTCTGTCCTGCTCAGTAACTTTTCCTTTTTCGATAGAAGAGGATAAAAAGATATATTTCTGTCCTGCTTAGTAACTTTTCTTCTTTCTACGCATGTGCCAAAAGAGAATAGAAGAAGATAGAAATACATCTTCTCTCAGCTTGCTCACAGCTCGACATCCGTATATATTCCTCTTCCATTACTATAAGTTCTATGATGTTAAACGAGGACAAGATCACGAAGTAAGAGAGAAGGAGACCCAACTCAATAGCGCAAGTAAAAAAAATGATCCTGATTTGTTACCCCTAATTGGGAGGGAATCCGCTAAACGGAATGGATTTTTACGTTTGGGCGCCAGTTGTAAAACAGTGTCATGAGGTTAGATACACGTTGCCTCACTGGCCTAGTTTCCATCGAGAGTTTAAACCGGATCAGAATATAAGAACCAACCAACTACAGTCGAGTATTCCTCTGTTACAGTCGAACGACAGGGAAATGCTCGACTGTAGTTGGTTGGTTCTTACATTCTGATCCGGTTTAAACCCTCGGTGGAAACTAAACCACTGATCGTTGCATGTATTTATTGCGATTATAAATCCAAATAAACTAAGAAAGTGTTTCAAAAGAGAGGTCTCTCTAATAATTATGTGAATCATATTATAACGTATATGTTGACAGCAGGAGATGATATACTATATTTTATGATATAAATATTAATGCTAAACAAAATAATAAATGTATAGATAACAAAGGACTGTCGACTAAGCACTGTTGTGAGCAGGACCGAGATAAGACCGGACTGTTCGGATAAAGTTAATTACAAATGACACTCAAACATGAAAATCCATTCCGTTCAGCGGCCTTTCTTACCAATTAGGGATCATGAATCAAGACCACTTTTGTTTCACTTTTGTTTTGCGAGGAATTTTGATAAAGTAAAAAAAGGATGAAATGAGAAAGAAGTTTAGATAGTAACCGTGGCAACACTAGGTAACTTACTTATTTCACGCATGCGCTCTCCATTTTGGTTAATACTAACATCAAAGATGTCGACAGAAAGTTGCGCTACTGTATATACTGTGGCCATATCTTCGGCAATAGTAAGTCGAGCAGACGCGCGTATTGGGCTATCTTTAAACGTTAATATCTCGTTAATTATTGCGAGTATTGCAAAATAGTAACAGAACTTTTCGACTTAGTTTAGTCCGCTCTACCTGTTCGGGATGAGTGGGGCCGTACAATCCAGCCACCCTGTATATACAATTAAGGTTATACCACAGTGGTTATGCTACAAACATTCAACCGCACTCGCAACTATAATTTTCTCTCCAGTGAGCTTAGGGATATCGCATTTTTACTATGTTTATAACCGATCGCGAGTATTTTTTCATGATGAGATGAAAGTACGAGAGGTGAGGAAAGTCGACAAAGATACACAATCGACCCCCAGCTGCGATTACAATATGGCTGCTTCACTTAAGAGAAGATATCCAATCAGAATACATATCAGACTGCCAATCAGGAACTCGGACATAAATGTCGGGTCTCTTTATATATAAGACTCTATGGACGTGGCATATCCATCAATGACATTGGTAACAAGGGTTAGGTTAAGTAAACCGTCAGTGAGAAACGTGGCGTGTGACTTGTGAGTCGTGGCTCATCGTAGGAAGGAAAGGAAGGTGTTGCATCGGCAAGAAAGAGAGGTTCTACAGTAGAGCCTATCAGTGATCGACCTTCTTGACAAGTGATCGCGTCGACTACGGTCTGTATACTACACTACATCTGTGCTCGAACGAGTCCAAACGAAACGAAACGAAACGAAACGGAACGAGTGAAGAAGAGAGTAGCAATAGAGCAGTGGGCTGATCGGGAGGGGAAGGAGAGCAACCCCCTTCTCTCCTCCTTCCACGAGGAATTACCAAAAGGCAAAATGGTGGCGCGGTACAACGCAGACGGGTGATGTGTAGGCAGATATCGGCTCGCATCGCGTTCGTAACAGGGAGGTGCGAGATTAACGAGCGTAACCTGCGTGATCTGCGTGAGCACGCCAGGTCGACGGCAATATGGGCGACCCGAAGAGTCAGCACGGCGCGCAAGAGATGAAAGGCTGGCTTTTCAAATGGACCAACTACCTGAAAGGTTATCAACGGAGATGGTTCGTCCTGTCAAACGGCCTCCTGTCGTACTACAGGTAGTTTCCTACGTGTCGTCGGATCCGTCGAATTCGTTAAATTCGTCGCTCGCGGATCGCGAGCGTGCGCTCCTCGCCGCGTCGTCACCTAGTTACTTACGTTCGCTATTTTAACGGCGCGATCGATCTCTCGACGTCGTCGTCGTCGTCATCGTCGTCACCGTCGTGCCAAGATCGCGACACGCGATTCCCCGTTCGTCTTTCTAACTCGGTTTCATCTAATCGGAGAAAAAAAGAAAAAAAAAGGAGAAAAAGAATTTATCTATATCTACGTCACGGTGGAGCTGCTCGGCTGCTCCCCGTGTTGCGCATCACGATTAAGCGATTAGGTTATGTGCACGGTGATGGAACTCTTTTCGATCGCTCTCCCGGTCAAAAATAGCCTGGCAACAGTGGCAGCAGCTTACAGCTGTCACAATGAGCATTCGCGATGTCTACGCGGCCGACAGGATGGGGAGGGAACATATGTATGTATATATGTATACGCGTCCACCTGCACCGCTGCGATTTCTGCTCTCTATGCGCGTAGAATAGTTTCAGAATTCGGCTACGGTACCTGTCAGGATCTGTCTCATCTGTCAGATGCTTTAAGCATATTAGAGATAAGAGAGCTTTTTATCCGCGGCGCGAATGTCAATTCGACTGACGCGCGGGAAGGAGTAAACTAGTACATCTATCACGTGACATTGTAGTCTTGGGCTCGTTTCTCGAGTCGTAGCTCTAACTAAATAATCGTTCATTAAACATATTTAGCGAACGTGTATTTTTTTCTTGAATAATTATTTATTGCTAAATTCGTAAATGTTTAATTACATTTGTATGTACTGTTCGAAGAAATATGTATTTATCTAGTAAATATTTTTTCGGAGTACTTTTTATATTTTTTTTTTCCTAATTCTTAGAACTAGAAAAAGATGAAGAATTATTATTATATAGTTATAATTAGAATTATAATAGAAGAATTATAATAGTTAGAATTAGAAAAAAAATAGAGTACACACTCTGAAAAAATATTTACTAAATAAATATGTATTTCTTGGAATAGTACTAAATAATAAATATTTATAGTAAATAAATATTTGTTTAATTAAAAAAATTATAGTTAAATCAAATTAATAGTTTTTGTATCAAATAAGTACATGTTCATTAAATATGTTTAATGTAATAAATGTTTATTTGAGAACTATTCAAACGAATATTTATTAGAATTTAGTTTTTTTTTTCTTTCAATGTAAGTAGAACTGAGATTATGAAATTAATATTGGTAGAAACGGACATTAAAGAGCTTGGCGATAAGATACATTAGTGAGAGTGAATGAAAGAGAGAGAGAGAGAGAGAGAGAGGGGGGGATCCAAGTATTGGATGGGAGCATTTAGACATCTTAGACAGAATGCATGTGTACATTATAAACAAGCTTTGCGATTTTCTTGTTTTAGTGTGGCGTATAATTTCACCACATCTAGTTTATCCAAGTAACGCTGAATTAAACGCCGTTCACTCGAATCGTATGATAACGTTCACCTCCTGGATTGATTTTTTTTTACCTGGATTCCAGATTTATGTGTATTTGTCAGCGTATTAGTTAGGTACGAAACATGCAAGAGTCATACGCGCATCGCAGATGTGTCGGGCAACAATCAACGGTTATATAAAAGCATGACAAAACTCCTTATGGATGATGATGTGAATACGACATTGCATATACTCGCTCGCGTCTACAGGATACGTCACAAAATGCGTATAGGGATCAGTAGGAAGAATTTTTCCATACAGCATAAAATATTTCACAAATATTTTCAAATATTTCATTGCAGAATTTGAAATATTTCAAAAAAAATTTTCATGTTTCAGGAAATCAGAGTTTTTGAAATATTCTTTTTTTTACAATATTTATAGAATATGTCTAAAATATTTTATTAAAATACTTGAAAGAATTGTTTATCTAAATTATAAATATTTATATTCGTGTTGTGTCAATCTTGATGAATTTGGAGTCGGGTCTTCTCGGAGTGTTTCAAGAATTAAGTTGAAAAATTATTCAAGATTGACAATATAGTTATTTCACGAAATGTGTTACGATTTTCTATGCGTTATCACAATGCCGAGGTTAGTTCCACATGAAATATTTATATAAATTATTTTTTGAAATATTTTAATCAAATATTTTACAAATATTTTTTCTAAACGTTTGTAAGACGTTGTAAAATATTTTAAAAATATTGTTGTGAAATATAAATATAAATATATATTGTAAGAAGAATATTTCACTGTGATTTTAGAAAGATTTCGTGAAAAATTTTTGAAATATTGTATACCTTGCAATGAAATATGTTTTTGCAATGAAAAATATTTTTAAAATATTTTATACTGTATGGAGTATTATCATAAATTTATCAAGCCTGTTGATTGCTATAGGAGAAAGAAATCTGAGAACCTCTCTAGTCCATTTCTACCAATCTCTAGTTAATTTTTATCTTTTTCTAATTCTTAGAACTAAAAGAAGGTAAAAAGTAAATTAAACCTAGATTAAAGTTAATTTCCATAGAAATGATAGAAAACGTCTGTTTTGTAGCCAATTAACAAGCTTGAAAGATTTGTCATGTGACAAACGTATAATATTTATTATGGGCTTTCTACAATAAGCCATTATCTATGCTTGAAATATAAGTCGTAAGAAATTGAACAATCACAATCAAATGTAGATAAGAATAGTAATCAACTATGGAATGATCAATTTCTTACGAGTTAAGATTTGAAGACTTAGGTAATAGCTGACTATAGAAAGCCAATTATAGCCGAAAAATGCGGTTCCGAAAACGATATAATCCTACATTACAACCCTCGCATCTGACGACGCGTCGGAGGAAGTTTATTACGTACATATCTATACATCTCTCATTTTAATATTATGAGACATATCGCACTTGACCGCTTATACTTGGCGCTTTGTAGTTCGCAACGATAATAAACCCGTCCCCAGCCTGACAATTTTTACGTGAATTTCGCTCTAGCAGCGAAATTAATGAAATAGTGCAATACGAATTTCCAAACCATCTTGTATCTCGTGCAGTCACGTTATCTTCGCAAGTAGAGCAACTGTGTTTTTCTGACAAATGATTGTGCTTTCTAGAACATTTTTTTTTTTTCCCCCTTCAATTTCGACACTCCGCTTGGCACACAGTTTGTGTAATTTGAGTTTGCAATGCCTTTCTGAGGATTATTCACTGGTACGTATTATATAGTATGGATCCGTCGACGGATAAGAATATTTTATTCTCAATTGTCTGTCGTAAGGCTTTTTCTCGCACAGTATAACACGCGGGTGCACGCAAAAACCATACAGTATAACTCGCGTTACGAACCGAATGAACTTTACGTCTCGCGTCACCGTCGACCGGTAACGATGTGCCGGTGTTCTTTTTTTTTTTTCCCTCCGATCTCTTGCGAACTTGGAGCGACTCGACAAAGAGAAAAGATTGCCTATGTATGTTCTTGCCTACTTCTGACGGTGGGTAAAGAGAAAAAAAAAAAAAATCGAGAGAACAGAACGAAATTTCGAGCAATAAGCTTTGCCACAGTGTTACACAATGTGAACGGGGTCTGTTTGTTTTATGGATTGTTTAGGGCTGAACCAACAGGGGGGCCAAAGATATCATCGCGACGCAAGCGGAGAGCTGGCAGAGCCTCCGAGTAAGTAAAAAAAAAAGTCAAAACAAAAAAGATAAAACGAAATATGCGAAATCGCATATCCCTATCCCTTTCCGCGAGTTTGTAATTAAAAAACAGCCTCCACGGACGTTTGTGTTCCCATTTCCCATTTTTGATACTCGATTGCGCGCGCGCGCATACACAACACACACACATACACAGGCGCGCGCACGACACGCACACATACACATTATTATGTAACTTTACATCTTTTCGTGCAATTTCAATTTGATGGCCTTAATAAAAAAAATCTCTCGCTTTCTCCACGACTTCACCTGGGGCCGCATTTTCGAAAAATATCGCATACGAAAATACTATATGTCGCGTATATTATATAATATAATTTCCCTAATATTTTTGTATACGATATTTTTGAAAGTAAGACCTTTGTAACGTGTCAGTGGTTGTATTACGTACTATCTGTATGTGTGAATATGAAAATTAAATGTTTCCTCGTAATATACGCTAAACCATGCTAAATGTAACACTTGTCATTTACGTTCTCTATTATCCTTTTTCATTTTCTTTCTTTGTCTCCCCTTACTTTTCTCTTTCTCTCTCTTCTCTGTGTGTATGAGTATGTGCGTGCGTGCGTGCGTGCGTGCGTGCGTGCGTGTGTGTGTGTGTGGTGTGAATGTATATAATACAGTCGTGTGCAATGAAATATACCGCTTCTTTATGTTGTGTTTCTTTATCGTGCGAGTTACGTTCGTTCCAGTCGAGTCTCGTCTTTTTGTTCACTTTTTTAACTGTCTCACGCAGTGACTGTACACGTAACTGCAATCGTTGTTGAACCGACAAGATATAGCTGTTACCGATATCTTAGATTAGACGACTTTATTTTTCTTGCTCTTTTGGATGGACGCGCTTGAAAGTTCTACCAATCGCGCAGAAGGAATTATCTTAATTAATTTTATGATTAATTTTACCTTTTTTCTTTTTTCTCCAAATGCGATCGATGAACTGGAAGATTTTGTAATCTTTGTCGAGTAACTCCTTTTTCTCTTGATTGAATAATTTTCCTTTCTTTGTAGTTGGAAACTTTGTATCGTCTTAATTTTTCTTTCTTCACATACAGGATATTTTGGTAATAACTCGATTTATTTTATATATAACACACACACACACACACACACACACACACACACACACACACAGAGGGCGCTTCCTTTTAACAGTGAATTTTTACACATTAATCCGTTTCTCTTTAATAAAAGTTGAGTGGCGGATGCGTGTTTCGACATATCTCCTAAGTGAAAGTTTAATCCGAACACATTAGAATCTTCGACTTGAGGAAAACTATCTTCGGGATATCATGTATAAATATCGTGAATAGTCGTAAAGTAGGAAAAATCGGGTCAATACATCACTGCTGAATAAACTGAAGTTTATCAACACAGCCGTAGTATCAATACACGGTAAATTGAATTCAACAATAACCTCCTGTCTTTCCAATGAATTGTGGAGACTATTTTGTTGTGAAAATTATTTTTCATACAGATGTTTCGTCACAAATATTTACCAAAGATTGCATAAATAACGAGACTATGCGCAATACTGTAAGATTATTTATCTTGGTAAATAAATGCACGCAAGTATCTCGAAACACGTTTCCGCCAATTTATACTTGAACGTGTACAGAGTGTTCTTAAATAGATTGATGGACTTTGACAGTGTGCAGTTTTACTCGCTTTGGATGGAGAAAGATTGGATGCGATCGTAGTTGACATACATATCGAAACTACATGTTTCCGAATTACAAACACTTTTCTATTTACGTTGAATTTTGCAAGAATTTCTCAGAGACTTGTGATTTGTTCGTAAAATGGAGCACGATCTTTCTTTTTAAATCAATTGTTAAAGCTATCCTTTTGCACGCTTTGCATTAACTCTTCATCTTTCTCTAGTTCTAAGAATTAAAAAAAGATGCGGAAGAGTAGAAGTTGTGAATCGCGATTAAAGTTAATCTACGTTGAGAAAATAGAAAACAGACAATAGATCCGTTTAATGATATAAGATTAACTTTAATCTCGGTTTAATTCTTAGAATTGGAGAAAAAGATAAAGAGTACATTGAGATTCAAATTAATTTTAACGTTGATTGAGTCGGACCTTATAGATTCAAATGCCGATTGGTAGACAAATACGCATCTTTTTGCTCCGACCCATATTATAGATTCGTCACTATTCAGCGTAACGATAGATCAGTTTGTCAGATTGCAGTGAGCATCATTATTATAAGACAAAGATACACTTCTTTATACATTCTTTGCGAAATAATGCTGTTTCTGCAGGCGAAAGTGTTGGTGATTCTGAAAAGAAACATTTTCAGACTAATCACACTAATCGTGATCGCATGATTTTCTCTTTTCATTCGCGTACGGCGCGGGCGAGTAGAGTATAAATACACACCCCAGAGCTCAGCGATCCATTTCGAGGGCAGCCTGCATGTACAGAGCCTGTACACGATTCCGAGTGCGCTGGTATGACTTTTTTTTTCTTTTTTTTTTTTCTTTCTTTTTTTTTTCCTCTTCCACGCGGAATCGTGATTGTTGCGTGTTCGATTAACCCGAGTGACCTCACGTGCATGATCCGATTGAGAGCTCTCCTACCCTCCCCCTCGCTCCACCGGTATTTGGATAGTCGTTTCGTACGACGGAGAATATCCCATCCTCCCATGGATTGCTCTTGACCGACGACCGCGAGTGCGACAAGAGGCGCTCGTCTATGTGGACGTGTCGCGTCGCGTCGCGGGATAGGGGAGCAGCCGGATCCGTAATACGGCCTATACGGGATGGTAATGGGAATCGTTAAATCGCTTCCATCGGCTGCGTAATCCAGTGTTTTAGTTTCCTTGGATTACGCCGATAAGCCCATACTTTTCTATGCTAATAACTGTTCCTCGCATCCTATCCACCAATCATCACTCCGTCTCTCTCGCCAAGTCAGAAATATGATATCATCACAGATTAACTCGGACAATCGTTGCTACATTGTTGTGCCAATTTTTCTGGTTGTTTTTTTGTTTTGTTTTGTTTCGTTTTTTTTGAGGGGGAGGGAGAGGTGATCGCTTGGATAAATCTTGTTC